CCCCAGATGGTGCAGAGAGGACTTTGTCCTCCATCCGAGGGGCAGTAAGTGGAACAGTGACGAACACTTATTCGTCTTATTGTGAAAATTCTTACTACGTCCTTCCTCCGCTGCACCTGCAGCACGTCTTCCTTCTTCTAATCGCTCCCCTATTTCCAACCACACCGTCGGAGGCTAAACGCGGCAATTAGGCAAAGTCATTTACATCTCAGGGCTCTTTCAGCCCAAAGTGTTCTAATCTGATCCCCTTTTGTTAAGGGCTTTTTTAAACTGCTAAAACCTCGAGGAGTAGAGACGCAGACAAATGCTTAACGTCTCAGACGCCTTGTTTGGGAGGTCGACGCAAACCGGAAACCGCATGAAGAGCAACTTAACCAATGCAACTCCAAGGTGAAAGGTCACGCGGCGGGTCCTTCCCGTTCTTCCATCCATCATTAAAACAGAATATTTGTGAATCCTAGAACGTGGGCTCATCTTCTCTTTTTAAAATCAGGAACATGTGCAGCTTCCTGTGGGGGCGTCTTGAGAAGTAAACACTTCATGAAGTCAAGTGTCTCCAACGTCGTTCGATGCCCGTGTGTGTGTGTGTGTGTGTGTGTGTTTCCCCCCCCGAGCCAAGCGAAACGGGCCTCGGCTCGTCTTCTCGTGGACAACCTGGACATTTCACCGCGGGACGCCGTCAGCACGCGTGACTGATTCGTCTCGGGCGTCAGTCTGCTCGGCGGACTCCTTCACCGCACTCGACGGGGAGATGAGATGCGAGCAGATGGAAAGTATCACGGCGGCGTCTCGTCTCCGGAGGTTCACGAGGGTGGACGAGGCTGCAGGATTATTAGGAATTGTTTGGAAAATAAAAGCCGGCGCTGCAGAGCGGGAGCTTTTTCCGTTTTGGTCGGGCGGAAAAGGTGTAAAGATGATAAAATAAGATGCATCTTCAGCGGAGCACACGTTGTGGTAACGCTGTGAATTACAAAACAGAAATGAAAGCTTTTTAATATAAATAATACAACATTCACAATTATGGAAACAAACCCTGCAGGCCATTTGGCTTTCTGCTGAATAATGGGACCCTGCTCTCAGATGCTTAATATTTCCTTTATGGAGTCAACGTGTTCTCAAATACTTTATTTTGAGAAAACATTTTTTTCAGATAATCAAGGCAAAATTTCCATAGAACCCGTCGATAATGAAGTTTGTGTCAGTGATTTCCACACGAGAGCAGAGATTCTGAAGGATTTGAACCCGACGCCTGGGATTAGAAGAGGAAAGTTCCACAGAAAAGCTTAAAGTTGTTTCACGTGTTGTTGTTTAACGGGAGACGACAAGTTCCTCTGGTAGGATTTTATTGATCGGTACTCATTTGGAAACTACCCAAAGACGTCATTTAACGAAACTGTCACGTTATCAGCCACACATCACGTCGCGGCGACTCCTCACGTTCACTGAGCAGAAGCTCGAGTGTCAAAAGGGACAATCGAAGGGCCGCGTTTGTTGTTGGAAGAGTTCTCATGCAGATTTTCTATTCAGAGTTTAGGACGAATCATCTGCGTTTCTTGTTCCACTGCACATGAAATGTGTTATTTAAAAAAAAGACGACTTCGAAATTAGAAATGTTGGCAGTTTAATGCCACTGATAAATACATCGGGGATCGTTTCCCAGTGCAACAAGCAGCAATTAAAGGGCAGCGCGAGCTAATAAAGGGAGCGCTTGTCTTCCAAAGGGAATGTGTCCTTTGAATTCGGGCACAGCACAACGTGGATGGAGTTTGAGGACAGAGCAGAGGAAACTGCTGCAGGACACACACCGTTTTAGTCGCTGGTTAATTGGGGGGCAATTACGGAAACGAATCCTTCAGGCTGCCGTGTTTGCCGCAGCTGTACGGAACAATGTTCTATATCTGTTGATCCATTGGAGAGAGTCTCTCCGGTCCAGTTTTAGAAAATGTAAAAGATGCTCCAAGCCTCAGGGGAAACGTCCCGAGAATAAAAAGGTTTTGGTCGAAGGGAATAATTAGGTCGATGGGTCGTGTTGGGGTTCAGGACAACCACAATGTTTACAAAAACTACACAGTAAAGCACAAAAACAACAAACAGGAAATACTAAAAATGCAACATTAATAACAGAACACCACAAACGGGAACAGCCAGCAAAGCATTGTGCAATTAGCACCAACACAGCGGCGATTAGCGGCTAGCTGATGCTAACGCGAGGCTAAACAACATCCACACATGTGGGATTAAAACCGGCAGCCACGAGTTCCTTCTCGACTTTGGAGACGGAGGCCGAGCGTCGGGAACAAGAAGTCCTTATTTTAGTCAACTTGCTGTCTTGTACGGGGAGCGCGGGAGACGTCAACCTGACGAATTACTCCGCTGAAGTTGGTTAACTTTAACGCGGAGAGAAGGCGGCCCGGCAAATCTCCACTTTGCACCGATAACCTGACGGGTTCACGGTCGTTTACTCCTGGTGGCGCTTTTTCAGGGCCACTATTGTCACAGACCTTTCAATTGAAGATTTAAAGCACTCAAAAAGACTCCATTAGCGGTACGAGTTGAGGAATTGCTCTTTTTACACAAGATTGTTTTAATAATTTAACAACCATTCTGTGGTTTTATTTTTAATGAACAATGAATGTTGATATAGTATTCAAAAAAAGATAATGCATTGTGGCAGAAAACTTGTGGACACAATTGCTTTAACATCTGCTTCAATGCGCAGTAAATATTCATTATTTTGTATTTAAATGGGGATTTGTTCCATTTAAATCAGACTTAAGATGATTGTGATTCTGCTTTTTTCCCCTCTGTTCGTCTGCGCTGATATTAATCCCAGTATGATGCATATTAAAATGTTACTTATGAGAACGAAAGTCTTCCTTTCACAAACTTGTGACCCACTCACATACACGAGTGCATAATTATAGACAAAATTGGCCAATAACTAAATGTTTAGCACAGATGCTTCCTGAAAGAGCGTTTTTGTTCTTATTGTAAAAATAAATCACAGGAATCATTCGATTTTGTGTAAAACATAAAAGTCATAATTTGCCCACAGCCGAATGATCTGCTCCTCCACGGTGAACTCGGCATTTATTCAAACGCATCTCTGTAATCGAGGCACCAGCCTCGTCCTCCTTTCATGAACCTCCGCAGAAATCACACCAGGAGGAAGAGAAGAACTATTTGAACTTTGGTGCAGCGGAACCGTTGCTCGGCTGATGAGTTTCTGCTTCGGGGACCAGTTGCAGTTGTTGCTCGGGAACTTTCCTTTCCTCCCAATTCAGAAGGTAATGGAGCCAAAAGCATGAACGCAATATCAAACCTCTTTGTTTCAAACCCACCAATACGCTGCAAGGGAACTCTGCAGGCCAGACATCAAACAAAGTTAAAACATATTTATCGCTTTTATCATGTATAAATGTATTCTTTATTATCAGTAATGAATACAAATATGTTTGTTTCCAATTCATCTGAACTTGTATGTCGAGCAGTTTATTGGGTTATAAAACACAAATAACGATATAAAATCGTGTTATTTTGTTACACTGCATGAGGCGTTTAAAGTGCACGAGAGGATAATTTCCTGCGCTGAAAATGCAAGATTCCAGCGGGTTGCAGATCGTTATTAGTCACATGCAGACAGAACCAGCTGTTGGTTATTGAAACCCTAAATCACCCTAAAGGGTCACGCTACGTAAAAGGCAAACAGAAGCACAAACACAAAGGATCTAAAAAAATAGCACAATGAAAGCACCGGCGGTTACCCGGTGACCCCCGGCCTGCTGACCCGAGTCATTTGAGCGGTGACGGCGTTCTGCGCCCACTTCAGGGGGGAGACGGTGGAGACGCGAGCCTCTGAAATGCAGAGCGGATGAACGCCGTCCAGCAGGCCGAGACTGAGGGGGTGAAATGCTTCATTTCCTTCCAGAATCAATGCGTCTTGACACACATGATGTCTCTTTTCTGTCTCAGCTGTCAAAGAATAATCAGAAAATTGCCTTAAAAAACGTTTTTAAAAGGGCATTTTGGGACATTTGTGCTTTATCACACTGAAAGGGGAGACAGGAAATGAGGGCACGGACCCGACACGAATGATTCTCACAGCTAAAATGCTAATAACGGAAATCAGTGCAGACTTCAGTACAAAGCGTAGAAATATAAATCAAGGTGATGGTCAAACCCGCCCGACCACAGTGGATCGTTTTTTGGACTCAAGAGGGTGTGATGCTCATTTTCAGTCCGTCACCCGGTTTTCTGCTGCCGAATCTCAACTAAACACTCAAAGAATCCACCACAATCACCCCAGGCAGGGCATTTAAAATGAAATAGACATAATCCCACGGTGAGACGACCCTCTGTCTCATCTTCGTCCCCTTCTACCGGAGTCCACAATTACATTGATTAATAGTGACATTTCATTTTTCATAACTCGCAATTGCTTTCTGTGCAACAACGTCAACGTGTAAACAACAAAGACCCGCGCACAAAGATAGCAGTGCTGTGTGTGTGTGTGTGTGTGTGTGTGTATACACGGTTCACGTGTTTGGATAAACGCGGGACTCCATTGAACCGCCGGCGCGTCTACAGATTTCCCGCTTCACCAAAAAACAGAAAAAGAAAAAAAAAAAATCAATGTGTGTGTTCTGCCGATTCGTCCGTGAATAAAGCGGAGCGGCTCGGACGACGTGCCGCCGTCCCGCGGATGAAGAAGCGGCGCTTCAGGAGATCGATAACGTGACATGTGCCTTTCTCCATCGGCCGCGAGCGCATGTGCGAAAGAAGTAGTGCGTCGTTTGTGTCGCGTTGTGCAAACGTAACCGTTGTGGATTAGTCGGCGGTGGCCGTGGTAACCCGGGGAGGAGGCCACAACGTGGAACAACTGAGGCGTGCGTGTGTGTGCGCGTGTGTGTGCGTGTCTGTGCGTGCCTGTGCGTGTCTGTGCGTGGTGTCGGTCCAATTAGGGACCTTTTTTCTTGCACAAGATTGCGAGGGGTGTTTGGTTTTTTTTGGAGCGTTTTCTTCCATCGACCGTTTGTTCTGATTTAAATGTGGAGCGCATGTAGTGTTATTGACTGAAAAGTCCAATTTCAGCGCGGTTGGGTTATCGCCACGACGGCGAGCCGTATAAACAGTCTTTGGTGATAAAACTTCAGTCGTGTTGCGTCTGCGCTCAGTGGCCCAAAGCCGCAGTGTTTCACCAACAAAAGTACCAAAAAGGTTTACGCAAAGATACATAACAAAAAGATTACCACAACCGACCCAAAGTCATGTAAAAGTCTTGGTAACAGATGTCACATTTTAACCAGAAATGGCATTATTTTGTGTGTAGCAAGCATCAAGGCCTTTGCCAGCTGTAATAATGTTGTGATCTGAAGCGGCCTCTCAGAGGGTCGGACATGTGCCTCTTATTTATGGCACATCAATAATATGGATGTTCCATCTGCAACTTGCTCCTTTGATTAACTCGCTTTATTCGGATCTACTCTCCCGGGCGCGTTTCAGTCCGACTGCGATCGATGACCCTTTCTGTTTATTAAACAGTCACATGATGCGCGGGGGGGGGGGGTATTTTTAGCGCCATCGTTTACTGCACCGCCCGTGCTGATTCCAGATCATGTGGTGAATTCTTTACGCCTTACGTCTTCACAGTTCACTCGCGTTGCACCATCGCCTCCATCAAAAGCGTCACCGTCGTTTCCAAGCGCGCGACTCTTGAGCTTCTGGTCCGCTGATCGTGACTCCGTAACAGCGGGGAAACCAAGCAGGACAATTACGCTGACAGGCTCTCTTCATTAAAGAAGAAGATCAGTGGGAGATGAGACGTGTTTTATTGCCGTGGCTTTCATGCGGACCTCGCTCAGTAATGATCCAGCTCCTCCCGTGACAACGTGGATCCGGCTCCTCTCTGATAGCCGACGGCCACAAAGCCACAAATCTCCTGAGGACCCGTTAAGCCGCGGCGATTGTCAGCTACAGTTAATGTGACGGATCGACGCGGACCGGCTGGATTACGGTTAAGACGGTGATTTACAGCAATAAAGCGCCGTGGATTTTACCAAAGATCTACGGTTTTACGTGGGGGAAATGGCGCCGCGGCCCTTGGAAGCGTAAGTGTGCAGATGAATTCGTGACACTAAAAGGACTGACGTGGCAGCGGGGGAGTTGAACTAAACGTTCAGCGTGACCGGACATGAACGCGCTGGTCTCCAGCAGCAGGACGTCGAGTCCGCCGGACAAACCGACCGTCATAACTCAGACGGACGGCCTCCTCTTTGTCCTCAGCGCACACTGGACTCGCATCTCCCATTGAGAATCACATGGTTTCACATGGACACCAGCAGGATGCGGTCGACGCTTTTTTACAGTCCATTTAACACGGGATGATTAAAAAAGGAAATCCAACGGTTTATGACTGCTGATGCTTATTATGTTTGATCTTACAACAAAAGTGAAACAAATATATTGTTAAAAATAAAAAAGGTAAATCTGAATTCGCAGCGAGACAAAAAACAAAAAAAAAATCAAAAACGTCTCTGTTCAATTTAGCTAAATGCTAACAGAGCGGTAAAAGCTACGACATTTACTGTTTATTTCAGGTCCGTGGAGGACCAGCTAAATATGGATTTGAGCTCACGGGAGGTGCTGTGAAAAGTTCATCCGGAGGTGGACGTGAGCCACAAACTGCTGCTCATACACGCGGATTTAAGCGTTCACGTTCGTTGGCCTGAGAAATACGAATAGCTTAGAATACACGTATTCTGATGCATCGCAGTGGCACAGCAGAACATGCATATGAATATTAAATAAGGTGTATGGACAGCAAGGCCTGAGCGTGCACACACACACACACACACACACAAAAAGAGCAGGAGATGCTCCCACAGGTGGACTGGGGACGTGACGAGTGTGTCCTCGTCGTGTCTCCAGTCCAGCTGAGATCCTCTTCACCAGGAGATGAGACACTTCAATCAGTCAACTTCTGCGCTGGACGTGAAAATAATTATCCGTGGTCACATTGAATGTGAGATGCATTGATGATAAAGGAGTCTGCACACAAACAGACCTCTTCCTCGTTTATAATATGACCTGAATTCACCTAAAAATGTTTTATGTTGAACAACATTTTATTTTATTTTTTTTACACGGAAAATTCCAATTAAATAACTAATGGATTAATTGAATAGCTTCCAGGACAAAATATGAAGCAAAATGAATCAAACAAAGTGTTGCCTGGGAGACGACACATTGAACCGTTTGCATTCAAAACCACTGAATTTAAAATTCATGCATAAAATCCCACAGCACCCAAAAACATATTCAAATATTATGCAAAGCAAGTATAGATGAGGCACTGGATGTATACAGGATGTCTCTCTGCTGTGCATGTGTGAGAAGACAAGGACGCAGCGACCTGCAGGGAGGCCGTGGTGAGGAGACGTCCTTTCGTTTGGACGGCCTTGACAATGGGGATTTTTCACTACAATGGTCGATTAGCTTTAGTTTAACACTCTATAAAAGGAGATGATCTGACATCGTTTGCTATCCTGAGGTGGTTGAACAACAGTGCTCACAGCGGGCGTCGCGCGTTTTCACATTTTTAGGATCCATTAAAGACATATGTGAGGGGAAATCGGCTGAATGGACTAAGCGTTACAAAAACAAGCATACGGGTGGTCAGGTGACCATCTAATCTATTCTCTACTGTGTCTTCATCAAGTCAGGGAGCGAAGGGTTCACTTTCCTGCTCTTTCCCATATAAAATCTGCAACGCTAATATTAGCATCCGATGCATTTGCATGCGTGCATACATGCATGCAGGAATGTACTCTCCACTATCTGCAGGTGGACATTGAAGCACATGATCGCGTGAGCAGACCGGTAGCGATGTTATTATATATGTTCTATTCCGTTAACTGACTTTGTTCAGAGTTTTAGAGGAAGTTGAGCACCGAAACTTGTTCTGTGCATCGTCTCCGCTGCTTACTGCTTACAACAGTAAGTTTTACAAACAATTAAGTGGAACACATCGACTATCCGGGTTCTGCTGCAGCACTGAGACTCTCTGCAAACAAGCATGAATGAAGTTTGATCCCTCGTTACTAAAAGCTGACGCTGCTGACTTTTCATTTCATAAACCTCGGTCCGGTACATTGAAAAGTGAGTTAATTATGTGACGGCAAACATGTAGCGGCCGGTGTTTCTTCTCCACCCTTTTTAATCATCTCAGCAACCTTGAACGGGCCCAGCAAAATATATAACGGTGCCCCTGGGAAACGAGGTAAAGAACAATACCAGAGTTCTTAAGTATTGTTTCTCTTTTTGCTCATTCTTTGCTGTCACACGTGAGCAGAAGACCACGGCGGGAGATGATGTCCTTTTATCCAACGGTCGGCCTCGAGGGAAAAAATGGCCGACAGGGCGATTCTGAAACAATGACGGTGGAAACAAAAGGGACCGCTCGCCCTGCGAGGGGAGGCGAGGCACAAAGGAGACTCCTGGCGAGGCCGCCCACCCCCCCCCGGAAGGAAACGCAAAGGACGGCGATAAAATGCTTATGCTTCGTAGATGAACACCGCCGAGGGACGGGGACGGACACAGAGACCTAACGGGACTCCGGTGCTGCTGGCTGCCTCATCCTAAATACATTCTTATGTTGTTCCCTTTGGTGGGTTTTTAACGGGTTCCTGCGGCGATGCGGCGAAACGGCAACCGTCCCACAGCAACCCGCACAGAAAGTATTAATACAAGCGGACTCGTTTCCCCCGGAGGCGGCGGGTTTATTGTCCCGTTGCACTGCAGAGGAAGACACAAGCGGGATTGTTAGAGGGACGAGTGCCACGTTGTTTGTTTTGATGATTGTTGTTCGACAACGCCGACACTCACAATCCACACCCTCTGGAAACCGAGACGTCCTCGGCGGTAAACGCAGGATCTCGGCAAATGATATGAATATTTAAAATCACAGCTTGAATCCACATAAAACTCTGAAAAGGCAAAAAAAAAAAATGATTCCGTAACAATGGGGACGTGTTTTTCCCGCTACATTCATCAGCCTCCCGCTGCGCTCCACTCCGACACAATCTCAGATGCTTTGCCAGGCGCGCCGCGTCCCCCTCCTGCTGGTGGAGGCTTTGCACCTTCCAGGAAACCAAACAAGTCGACCACAACAACCAGCGGCGCTGCGTGGGAGCAGGCCGACCCACCTCGCCCCCCCACCTCCTCCTCGCTCCCCACGTGGCCCCCGGTGGCTGCGCGGCTCCGAGGCCCCCGCTGCACCAGCGCGTCGCGTCTCGCCTTCAGCAGCGCGGAGATTAATGAGCGAGCGAGCGAGCTCCAAAAAGAAGGACTCCTCCTCCTCCTTCTTCTTCTTCCTCCTCGCTTTCTAGAGAAATCCAGGGGGGGTTCCAGTCATTACCTGGGACGTGCAGTGGGTGGAACTTCACTTCAAAAGTCTCGGATTCCGTCAACATTTCTTCGTTTATATAATTACGGCCCAGCTGACTTCCATTAGAGGGAAGCGATTGTGCGTTTCGATTTGAAAGGCTCACGTGTAAATATGTGAACAGCTACATGAAGTGAGATGTCACACAATTAGCCTTTGCACCATCTGTCTCCTGCCCAGTCACCGCTCCCAGTGGCGTTTCCTGCGAGCGGAACCGTCCCCGCGACGCCCAGAAGACGGCTCGCCCCGCGACAGCTTAATTAAATGGAAAGCAACACAAGAACCGGACTCAAACTTCCACGTTTCGTGCTCTTTGAACAGAGCACTTAAAAAAGGGAGAAATGCTGCAGCTCAGCTGTTCAGCCTCTTCTGGAGAAGCGATGATTCATTCGGTGATGAAAAGGCTTCTTGCTTCGTCCCCTCAGAACCAGAGAGACGCAACGACGCCGCAGCCACGTCAAATCAGGGCGAGAATATTCGTACTGCCCCGAAATCACGCGTGTCTGAACGGACCAACATCACGGGGGCCTGAGGGGGGGCAACACTGATCACGTAATCACAACTTCACCATCTCAAATCTGCCCTGAGACCCAAGTTGCATGACATCCCTCATCTCAGTCACCAAAAACACATCTGTGAGCCAACATCTGGTATTTAATTTAGGTTCTTATGGGTTTAAAGTGTACCACTGAATACACGCTCCACAGAGACACATCATTAAAGGAAATCAGTTGAAGCGATGTGCATGAATTCAATCTTTGTGACTCCTTTTGGTTCAGAATTTTATTTATTTCTTCATGATGAAAACCTAAAATATTTATTTTCTGCAAAAACCTCTTTGTTCTCTTTGCCTCTGTGTTTGCAGAGCTGGACGTAGAACAGATTAGAAAAGGCATTTTGGGCTGAAAGCTCCACACGGGAGCCTAAAGGTTTACCGGCACCACCCGCCCTCCACCCCAACGCGGCGGCTTCCCGGAGGCCTCCCGCGCTGCAGAACAAACCCATCGGTGTCTTCGAAGACAAAGTCGGCCAAGTGATCTTCCTTTGTGCTCTTCTGAGGACGTTCACGCGTCCTCCTGTTTGAGGGCGCCGGAGACGACGGCGGCGGCGGCGTGAGGGGCGGATCCTCGTGACGTCAATCGAGCGAATCAATCGTGAGCTTTTCCGACCTCGTCTCTTCTGACAGCAAATAGAGGAATCTATTCATCCGTTATTCATAATAACTAGTTAAAAGAGGGTTTTTTGTGCCGCAGATTTGTTTTTAAAATGAAAATTGAGTCGATTACGGCGAGAAATCTCAATTCAAAATCTTGGTCTGTGTTTTTCTCTTTTGAAATACTAATATTTGGATGTGAACCTGCAGCTGGAGAAGAATGAATTAACCTGTGAATGAATCAACATTCATCCCCAGCCTGGCTGCTCCGCTCAGAGCAATTAACATAAATCCCAGAGTCATTTGGAAATAATTTGAATCTAAATAGCAAAAAAGTGAATAATCAACAAGTGATGAGAGGTAAAATTGATCATCTTTCACAATCAGCTTTGGCTGCTCCCATTCGTAGCCAACAATCCTGTTCAGAGGTCAGTCTCTGTGGCTTATTTAACCAGGAGGCGTGAATGTTTAATTTCTTACAGTATTACTCATCACCCCTGAGACACAAAGGCCAAATCGCAGCCTTGTTAATTCATTCATGTGAGCCGTCGCTTCCTTTCGCTGCCATAAATGCTAATTTGATTAAGCTTCTAGTTCATTTTGTGGATCAATCAGACTCCAAAAACAAACAAAAAAAAAAATGCAGTTACGAGTAATATGATTTCTATGACGAGGATACGTTGTCGGTAATTTGAAGGAGTTTGTTTAAGTGTAATTTACGGTTACGTTAATAGACACGTGAATTCAGACTGAAAGGGCAATTGAATTACAGAAAGTGCAATGTTTCATTCGTATTATTTAAATTCACTTAAATCTTAAAAACAAGTACGACACAGATGCATAACGACCTCTTCTGCAAAGGTTATCTCCAGCATTATGCAGCATCCACGACTCTTAACATCCCCCGGTGGGTCATTAATCTGTGAATGAACAGGGGCCTCAGTGATGGGAAAGGTGGGACGAACCAAAAGGGCCCAAACTGGGAGAGACGTCAAAAACATTGCTTTATATCTGCTTCTTATTTCACAATGTGAGACACTTTTATTAAATATATCGCTGTATGAATGAACTCTTTTTATGGATTATTCTTTGCATATAAAAGAAACGTTGCTGCCCTGTGGGCTCCCCCCCCCCCTCTAAGAGCAGCACATGGTTTAATCCACCATCAAACAAGGTTAAAACACAGTAATTGGATGCTTTTACCAGGGATCCAAAGACGCTCAGGTAATTATGTCTAAAGAGAAAACCAAGACAATCATAATAACAAGTTGAGGGACAACCGCTGTGAAGAAAATCCTTTCAAAAGACACACGAGTGAATAAACTCGTCAGCTTTAGAGTCCAATTCTGCCGTGTGGCTGGAGACATGACAGACATTTCAATATATTATCATAATGCAAGAGACGTATTAGTATTTCTTCAATTTGAGGAAAACTGTCATAGTATAAGAAACATACTGACATATTCATGTACTCAGGGTTCATAAAGAGTTTTATCTATTCAGTACGGTGAGATCTGCATCCACTGACAGGCTTCAACCTCCAACATCATAGCGACACATCTTGTGCAATTTGGGTCCCAGTCCACCACACAACAATGCGTGTAAACTATTAATGGTGAAAAGTATTTCATCAGTCATAGCTTGACTGATGAAATAAAAGCAGCGTTTTCGTTCCCTCCCAACGCCTGACTGTGTGATTTAAGACGGACTCATAAAGTTGCTCCTAAAGAGTCATCAAGAAGCCATTGGCTGAATATAAGTGTGAATCAAACATCAAAAGTGAACGCTGTAAAAAAAGGACCCCTGTAAAGCGTCTACTTGTCTTCTATTTTGAAATACAGTGTTGACCATAAAAAGGTATTTTTTTTTCTACTTGTCAGAGAATTAATCTAGTAAGCAAAATGATGTTTTTAGGACAGGCTGTTATTCACTTTGGCAACAATAGAGGCATGAATTGCCCAAAAAAAAATGCTATGAAAAGGTTGAATGAAGAAGAGAAAGCAAGGGGCTAAAATATGACGTCGCTAATAAAAAAGGAACAGCACACATAATGGACGATGTCATATTATCCCACGCTGTGAATCCCTCCACAGACCCGGGTGACGCATCACATCCATGAGGAGTGTCTTCCTCAACGCAGCTTTGATAGGAAACGTCCTTTCATGCCATCGCCAGTGGTTCTGCGTGGCGGCATCACCGGAATCAAATCACTGACAACAGACCGGGAAAACAGCGCGAATAGACGCGCGACACAGTGACTTGGAGGAGACCCTCGACCCACTGGGCTGAAGATATTCGCACGCCTCCCGTCGGTCACACCGTACGTGCCTCGGCATTAACTCGGCCCTCCATCAGCTCTCAACGAGACGATCACTGCATGTTTCTACACGGCGGCCAGTGCAGATTTTCCAGCACAAGCAGGACTGCTGAATCACTTTCTGCAGCAAAAGGCAAATACCAAACTGACTGTGCAGAACAGACCAACTTCAGAGAAAACGGGGCTCTCGTGGAGCATCAGACTGAAGACGCTCGCATGAGTTTTAGATATGACGGATTCGCTGTGATGCGTTCGCAGGGACGGGGATCAGCTTCTGGGCGGCTGTGAGCCTCAGCGGTGCCTCAACAGTGCCCCCTTTTGATCAACGTGATGAAGCAAGCCTCTTCTCCACGTTGCCACATCAAAAGCTCGGCTTCCGAGTCGCCAGGAACCTCGTGTTCACCTGGAAGAATCCTGGGGATCACGGTGACGTCGTCCTGTACATCCGTGCGAGGAGATACCGCTCAGCTGATTCCCTCCGGCTGGCGTTTGGCTTTAAAGTCAGAACGCTGCCGAACACACCGGAGAGCTCCTCCTGGAGCCTGCGAGCGAGGATCCCGTCCCAGTATTTACAAACCAGGGAGCCGCCCGGCAGTAAAATCCCCTCGGCCAAGTCCGTCAGAGACAAGCACATTGCGACGAGTCTCTCGTGGTCCATCTCCCGGAAACCGCTGGCGTTGGGCGCCATGTCGCTCAGGATGACGTGAGCGCGGCCGCCGGGGAGCAGCTCCAGCAGCTTGGCCTGCGTGGCGGGGTCGGTGACGTCGTGGCTGGACAGGAAGCGGGCGCCGTCTAGAGGCGGTATGTTGAGCAGGTCGACGCCGACGACCGAACCGCGTGGCAGCGCTGGATCTACGACGCAAGAGAAGCCGTCAACTGGCTTTTAACAGGAGGAGATTCCGTGTGTACGCGAGTGTTGGCGGGGGAAAAAAGTAATGTGGTTACGTAAAACAACAAGTGATGCGCTGCAAGTGAGAGACAATTATATGTTATATATAATTTCGACCAAAAAAGTGATTTTTTTTTCACCAAAAACATTTTTGACCCAATACTTTTTTTCCATGACATTTGTCATTATTACATATTTTGACTTTAACAAAACAATTTTCTACTTTTCTTCCATAACTTTTGTCAATATAACCTATTTTCACTTTTTTTTCAAATACGTTTGACTAAATTATTTTACTCTTTTTTTTCAAAACATTTTCTCACTTTTTTCTTTTTTACTTGATTTGCATGACATTTGTCAACTGAACCTATTTTCACTTTTTTTTTCCTAAATATTTTTTTGAGCAAATTATTTTAAAAACACTATTTTTTTCAAAAAAGGTTCTACCTAATATTTTCTTTAAGAATTTTTCTTTAAAAAAATCTTTTAACAAATATATTTAACGACTTTTTTTCTAAACTTATTTTTTGACTAGACATATTTTGACATTTAGTTCAAAACTTTTTTCGACCTAATATATTTTTTTTCTATGATATATATTTGTCAACATAACATATTCGTGGGTTTTTTAAAAGATTTTGACAGTCTTTTTATCAAAATGTCATTCTTTAAAACAGGCGTAGTCTAACATAATAACAAATGTTTTTGAAATATTAATCTGGTGCAAAACATGACCCCATCCTCCAGTATCACAAATGATAACAAATTATCAAACTGTATTTAGGCATTTCCACAAATGACTGCGGTCAGGAGGATCATTTAAATGTCCCTCACCTGTCCCGGCTGAGTTGACCCTCTGGACGGCCACCTGGCTCCAGGCTCCGGGTGCGGCTCCGCAGTCCACCACGCTGCGCCCCGGCTGCAGGAGCCGGAACTTGTCGTCTATCTCCAGCAACTTGAAGGCGCTTCTGCAGCGGAAGTGCTGCGCGTGGGACGCTTTGACATACGGGTCCTTGCGCTGCCGCTGCAGCCAGCGCTGCTCGGCGGCAGTTTTCCCTTTCTGCTTCTTCATTAAGCTCGGGGAGCAGTGGAGGAGTCTCCTCGGGAGGGAGGCGCACCACATCGCTGTGCTTACTTTGCTAAGCCGAACAGAGCGCGGGTGGGAATACAACTCACCATTGGTCCGTTCTGTGCATCATTCAAATATGTCCCCTTACTGCAAAAACATTAAGAGCAATAGTTCCTATCTGGGGAAATCACGTTTTACGCTTCTTTTTTTAATATGACCTCTTTCTTTTATTCTAACTATTCACTTCCATACTTTCAACTCATCCCACCTAAACCGCTGTCATAAAATATTTCTCTGTTGAGTGTCACGATCACGTTGACGCCTGCCTGACGTTGATCCCGACCGAGACGTGCTCCTCATACGTCAGCACGTCGCCCGACGTCACCGCCGAGCGCGGGAGCCATTCAACGTGGTCTTGTTTTGGAACTTTTTCTGCTGTCTTCTTCTCGTAGCACGGGGCGGAATTCGGACAGGTGAGAATGACTGAGCTCGTGCGGGCCACGCGCATCGGACAGTTTGTCTTTGTTTTAACCTTGTGCTCACGTGACTCCCCAGGGACGATGCTGAGCTCCAGCAAGCTGCTGACCCTGGTGCTGGTGGTCCAGCCGGGCAGGGTGCTGCTCGGCATGAAGAAGAGAGGGTTCGGGGCCGGGAAGTGGAACGGCTTCGGAGGCAAAGTTCAGCCAGGAGAAACTATTGAGGATGGTGCGAGGAGGTGAGACTCTTCTCGCCAGGTGTTGGTGCTGAGATGCAGCTCACAGGTTGAATGAAAACAGAACATTCTTTATGCATTTTGCATTAATAACAGAGTGAGAAAAGCAATGCATTGCTTATCTTTCCATTAAGTTATGGGTTTTTTACATTTATAAAAAAAGAACAACTTATCTTACAAACCCCAAGAACCCCTTTTTTTCCCCTCATCACATGTTTATTTGACGTTTTCATCTTCAGAGAACTGCTGGAGGAAAGCGGCCTCACGGTGGACGCTCTGGAGAAGGTCGGAAACATCACATTTGAGTTTGTTGGTGAAGCGCAGCTGCTCGACGTCCACGTTTTCAGAGCCGACCATTACAATGGAGAACCAACGGAGTCAGAAGGTTGTGTGATTTCTACTGACCCACAATGCACCAGGAAAATAGACGTTCTTTTGATAAGAAGGACAATTGCAGAAGCACGTAGTTCTTGGATAACAAAAACATGTGATCCTAAAGAAAAATAATCTTTTTTTGCTTTTGGTTCCCCTTAATCATGACTTCCTTGAGAACTTCTGAGGAACAACTTTCGGTTCCATTTTTAAAACCACTTTGACGACAGTGATTCTTTGAAGCAGACTGACTCAAACATCTTCACAGACGTGACGCAGGGGGAGAACATTAGTTGAGGGGTCTGTATCCTTATGGTTGAAATGCACTTATTGAATGTCGCTTTGGATAAAAGCGTCAGCTAAATGACATGTAATAGAAGAGAGGAGAAGTTTAAAAGACTGCATGTACACAAAGGAATGAAGAGGCCCTCAACAGAAGGAATGCTGTGTTTCCTGAGAGTTTAGTCAAGGTTGACCGAGTGAAAATTAGAGACACGCAGCAAAGAGTCTGGAGGTCAACAGAGGTCAATCTGCCGAGGGTTGAAGACATAAATGGAAGGAAGCGTGAAAATGTGCTGAAGTCAGTGGGAAATACATAATGTGGAAGTTTAACACAACAAGAGAGGAAACGACAGATGAAACTGTGAAACTGCAGGAAAGGTTCAGCAGGAATAAAACCTTTTTGGGGGAAAATGGTTCTTCAGAGATCGTTGAAAGCGCGGGTGTTTAAAATGGAACAATCCGGCTTACAACAGCCTAACAACTGTGATTGTGACACTGGGCTCAGCTGGGCTCCACCAGCACTCTGAAGGTCTCTTGAGGAAACCACTCAGAATAGAAAAGAGTTCAAGAGGTTGGTCCCCTTTTGGAGGCTTCTAGATTAAAGACTTTAAATAGAAAAGGGTTCTTGATGAAACCCCTGGACTAGAAAGTAACTTTTCGATGGAGAAAAATGAAAGTGGCACAAAAAAAGTTGTCTAACGGGTTGTGGTAGATGATCAAATGTGCTTAATTCTTAGGTGTAAGATCGACTATTCCCTCTATTGTTCTGTAGAAATGCGGCCTCAGTGGTTCAAACAGGACCAGATTCCTTTCAGCCAGATGTGGGCCGACGACGTCCTGTGGTTCCCGCTGCTGCTCCAGAAGAAGAAATTCGTTGGATACTTTAAGTTTCAGGGTCACGATGTGATCCTCAGCCAAAGACTGGAAGAGGTGGAGGAACTGTGAGAAGACCTGCGTTTCAGAGGACGTTCCTGAGCATCGGCCTTCCAACTTGAATACGTAGCAATAAATTCACTCAGAATTACACTGACAGAAAATACACCCTGTGATTTTATTTTCAGGATAATTGATTCAGCACAAATTCAACATTTACAATATCTACAGTGATAATCAGTGGATTTCTTGTTCTGTGCAGGTGAGCTGTACAATTCCAGAAACAATAGTTTGCACAGTTTCTTCATAGAATAAAAGTTGAATTTCTCGATTTCAGCCTCAGTTTGTGTGTTTGAGATGTTAGTCTGAAGTAACGTGAGCGCATCCACGGCAACTTGTCCCTTTTGATTTTGTTATTTAGAAAAATACATCATGTTCTGAAGCAGGTTATATGTGTGCAGAGATGCATGTGCATGGTTGTTTTCAGGCCAAGTGTCTCAGTAGAAAGTCTAATAGCAGAAAAGGATGCTGCGTTACAAAACTCATTTAAATTAGCATTTATCCAGCTGTGAAAACAAGCCTCCATCTCAAAAAGTGACACCTTCAAAACATCTTCAAGTGATCATTAAACGTTCGAGTTCAAACTGTGCAGCAGCCCTGGATTTATATGATTACACGTTGGTAGTAAATCAATGGCTTAGTGTTATTAACATTACACTGCTGGTGCTAAATGTCATTTTTAATCAATAAATCTCAAATCTGCCCTTTATAGTAGTTCACTTGGCGCATAGGCCTTTCAGAATAGTTAGGAAATACAACATGGGAGTAAATTCAAGCAGAGGAAGCAAGTGTGTTGCTCTACATAGAAGTAAACATTGTAGAAGTAACACAGTAGCGCAGTTGTTGATAAAACGTATAAAGTGTGCTGCTACACGTCCATATGAACTCACATCTGTATCAAAAGCACATCGGTCTAGAGTTATTCTGCAAGTCAAAACCTTCAGGGCTGGAGATTTAAAAGAATCCCATCCTGTAATAAACCAAAACATGATGTCACGCTCTTCAAACTGTCTTTAGTGTAGGAACCTTCTAACAGGTTGGAAGGTGCTTCAGGGAACGAGATGGAGCGCTTTAATATCCCGTCTGCCTTGTGAAACAGCCTTTATACTTCACCGTCGAGCGAGGCGTTAAATGTGCGCAGCTGTTAACACGGCCGAGGCCCGAACACTGAAGCGAAGACGAGAACCCGTTCGGACACCCTCGTGGAACGCACTCGTGTGTATAAGAAGACGTCTCCGTGGCTGCAGGGTGATTTCCTCTGCGTTCGGGTCTCAGGTGGAAGGTTTCAATCCGTTATTTCCACCGAAGAGACACCCGAGCTTTGGCTCGAGTTCATTCCACACGGCTCCCATCTGCAAGGAAAGCGGAAGGTCACTTCTCCCGACCCACATATTTCAATATCAGCGCTAAAAAAAAACAGAGTTATTCTCATCAGGAAACACTAAACTACCTCGGAGTAACCCCAGAAACCCTCTCGAACTGTTCCTGTCTCGCAATTTGAATATTAAAGATCGAGGTGCAGATAAAAGCATCCTGCCAAAGACATCAGAGAGATTCACGTGTTCATGTGAAATAATAAAAAGCTACAAAATGAGAGGGTTTCTTTTCACGAGAGCCACCACCTGCATTGCTTCTTTTGTTGGACTTTAAAAGCCAATTTAAACCCAACTTGACCCCCCCGAAGGGTCTGTGGAGAAATGATTTCCAGACCGGCGGCCTCACCTCTCGGTGTCCTTGGACCTGGGAGTTAACAAAAGCCCCCAGAATGTGGGACGTGATCGGGAGGTAGACGAAGATGAGCTGTGTCTCTTGGTGGAGGCAGAACAGGGAGAAGTAGTTACGCAGCTCCATGGTCTGAATGGCGTTCTCTTGCTGTTAACGCAACGACAGAAAAGAAACTCACGTTATCACCACTTATTGAACGACGAGTCATTTAAAAAACAAAAACGACCATCGAGGGCTAATTCAAGACTTTTATTTTATCAATTTCCCTTAAAAAAAACTAAATGCCGCTCATCTCGGCGGCAGATTCCGCCCTCGTCTGTGATGATGATGTAATGATCGAAACTCGTCGAGTCCTCTGGGCACAGACTGGAGGAAACCGCCAATTACCACAAAGCTTCTTGCTTTGACAGCGCTCGAGTCCGCTCGCCTGTCGCTAACGCACGCGCGGCCTCGTCTGACGGCGGCGAGGAAGAGAGGAAACGCATGGAGCACCTGAACAATGCGGGACTCCAGCTGCTCCACAGACGCCTGCTCTTTGGGCTGCACGGTGGCGCTCATCATCTGCCTCTTCATCACGCCGTACTTGTGCAGCGCTCTCTGGTGCTCGTGGAGGACGCCTTTCTCGTGCCGCTCGCAGAGATCCTGCGCGTTGGTGCAGATCGGGACATGCGTTGCCGTTAATGGAGGCCGTGGTAAATACCAGTTTGTCTGCCCACCGGTTTGATCCTTGCAAACCGCCCTTCTTCTAAGAACTGCAAATAGGGTGTGCTGTTGCTAAGTGACTCATTGCGTAATTACCTGAATTTAGTTATAAACTGATCCGGGATTCACTGCAACTATACAACCTTTTCATTGTGTCGCCATCAGAAAACAGGAGGTTGATTTTTCCGTTTCCTTGATGGATAAAAGAAAACTTTGCGGCACAAAGTGCAGCCGACTCACTCTGTACGACTGCAGCAGGTCCAGGAAAAGATTGAGTTTTTCCACGACATCGTCCTCTTCCCGTCGGCCCTGAGGACACAAGCGGAACAGCATTTAGCGCCCGGTGGCGTTCTGGGGGCGGAGCGGGGCGCGGGGGGGGGGAGGCGTACCTGCTGAGCGGCTTTGTCCGACAGCGCGGCGAACTCCACCGACAGGCTCCTCAGAGAGCGCCGCAGCGCGCCCCACGTGCTTTGTGAGGAGGCCAAGGAGGGAAGAGGAGAAGCGTCTGAGCCCAGAGTACTGATGGGGGGGGAGATGTTACTAGAAGATTGTTTAAAGGCTCCACGGTGGGACATGAAATACGGCAGAGACGCTACGAACAAAACAACCGTGAAGACAAACACGAGGGTTCGGAGTCTCATCAACATTCGTTTTCTAGAGGAAGACCACTAATAAAAGAAGAACCTGAGCTCTCTGCCGAACATGAGCAGATCAGTCGCGTTCTCCTTGGAGCGCTCCGCCATCTTCTCGGCCCGGTCCCGCAGCTTCTGGAAGCTGTTGTGGATGTTCCTTATCAGCTCTCTGCTCGTGGAGAACTGAGCCTGGATGTCGGCCGGGAGATATTCCTGCAAAACAAACGCCGTCCTTTTTACACGCAGCGGGGTCGTCCGGGGGTGGAGGGTGGGGGTGTTTGTGAGGACTTTCCTCCTCGCGCACACGGGACGAACCTTCGCCAGGGTCGCGACTCTGTTGGTCATGAACTCGTCGCCCGTTTTCTTGTAGGCGTCGCGCAGCTTGGACTGGACATCCTGTGTCGGGGGACGCCGGGCGAGTGAGAGAAAAGAACAGTGAGCGACGGCGCTTATTGCGACACAGCCGAGCGCCGGGCGGGCGGGCGGGCGGGCGGGTCACAGAGGCGCTACGTACCGAGCCGCTGAAGGCCAGGAAGGTCTTGACCAGCTCGTCCTCCGAGAAGAAGGGATGCCGCGCCACCAGGTTGATGAATCTGGCGAGAGCGCGCCTCCTCCCCTCGATGAAGTCGCGCTCGGAGACGGAGGTCAGCACTGCGGACGGGAGAGGAGAACGCGATAGAAAACAGGATCAGACCGCATCGACTCGTCTCGTAGTTGATTAATGACAAGGAAAGTAAATAATGAGACAGGAATAGAAACACTACTGCATGTGTGAACATACGCTTTGAATATATTATTCACGGCGCTTGAAGCCAGATTCATTCCCTGCGTCGGTCAGAACAAAAGGGCCGAGCTGCTCCTCGCACAAAACACCCGAATCCCCGACCCAACTGGCCGTGGTCGTGTTGCATTGTGGGTAATGTGGGCAACAAGTCAAATTAAGGGCGTTGAAGCGACGGCATTCTGATATACAAACGGCAGAAAAAGTCCCTGTGAACTGAAAGTGGCTCATGCAGAGCTTCTTCTTTTCAACAACAACTGATGCCGCTGGAGGAGTTTGTATTCACGATCTTAATCGAGCAACAAAAAAAAAAGAATCCAAATGTTCCAAACAAAGCAGCGAAAGCATTAATGAGGTCAGAAGGGAAGGTGCAGGAAACGCAGAAACAAAGGAACGCTCTGCTGAACGTGTAGAAGACGGAGTAACGCACCTCCCTTCAACATCCTCTTGGGCGGCAGCGCCGGCACCACTCGGTAGGCGAACCTCTGCAGCAGAACCTCGTGGAAGACGTCGAAGTCATTGTAGCGCCGGTAAACCGAGATCTTAAAACGCTGAAAACCAAAAAATAACCTGAGAATCCAAACAATCATTTCAAACGTACAATGGGGGGGTCATATGGAACCTCGGGAGGTTAATAGAGTGATGGGAAGGAAAGAAATAATTCAAAGTAAGACAGCGTTGTCCTCCCGGGACGCCTTGCCTGGCTGGTGACCTGGTACTCCACGTGTTTGAGGAACAAGCCCTTCTTCTCCGGTATGAGCTCCACCTGCACCGCGTCTCCGACCAGCAGCTTGTCCAGCGTCTGGGACAGCGTCAGCGCGTCGTCCCGCGCCGGCTGCATCCTCAACGCCTGCGGGCTTCGGACGACTCTGCGAGCAGACGAGCGGCGCCGACTTCTTATGTTTGACTCTGGGGAAGAAATGGATTGCCTCACGGTGAGGAATGCCGGCGCTGAGAGCACTTTCCTCCTATCGACGGACGGCTACGTGTCTCGCTCTATTTGCCCCCAGATACCACCGGCGTTGCGCGTGCTGTCGCTTTCTGCGCATTCCGAGGAGAGGTTGCGAATCGGAGGCCGTGCGCCGCGACAAATGCGGAAAGCTTGTTCTCGCGCACGCTTAAGGGAGTTGCATGCAGCTGGCCGCCACACTGCCCCCCCCCCCGCCTGAAATAACACAGAGAGCCTTAAATAATGACAGAAGGTTTGGGAATGAATGTCGAGCCGGCATAATGGCTACCTCTGTGAAAAAGCCCGGGACTCGCCCACTGTCGTGGCACCGGGGGAAGGAATGCAACACTTCAACACAGCTGAGGCCTCTCCGCCAAAAGTACAACGAAACAGCTGAATTTAAGTAAGAAAAGGAACAAAGTACGGATAGAAAGTCGTGTAGAAATACTCCCAAGTGTTACTTTGTGATCATTGTGATTGCATGCCGTTTAAAGCAAAACATCTGGTAATGAAACTTTGAGACTGGGCGAGCCAGTAAAAGAGTGGAGACACTTGTTAACAGCGGGGGGGGGGGGAGTCGGCCTCAGAATGAAACCAGAAGGAATTGTCGAGCTAATCATTAACCCCGTCGCTGTCACCGGACCATGTGTGCGGGTTCCTCCAGGGAGGTCGGGTGTCTTTTCTTTAGTTGAGCGAGCGACGACTGCTCAAAGATCCGTCTGAGGGGGGTCAACGCGCTCGGGCAACCTGAGGACGACAAAGACGACGTCAAGTGAAGGCCGCCGCTCCTCAGTCCCAGGTTCACACCGTGGTTCGTGTTCTTCTGCGCAACAACAACAACAACAACAAAAAGGGCCAGATAGACACAAAAGGAGATAATCTACAAAACGGGAAATCCTACTGAGCCATGACAGAAACACACTCCGCTGTGTTGTGACATTAGCTTACGTCTCGCAGGAGGGACTGAATCTGACATGAATAATTCAAGCGCCCACGCGTCTGCAAGCCCACAGCGAGTTCCTGCAGACCGGCTGTTGATGAGACGTTGCTCCTCTGTGATGCAATTTGACACAAATAAAAATAAAACATCGGTCTCGATCTAAAGAGTGTGTGGACGGAAGGATGCGCACACCAGCTGTAGAAGTTAACACCCAGGTAAAATACAACAATCAGAAGGGGATGTTTAATGATTTCAGGTTTTATCATTACCGTTGTACGCAGCCTCTGTATTTAAGTGTGAGCCCCCCCACCTTAGAGACTCGGGTCCTCTGAATAACCTGCACTGTCTCATCCATCCCAGCCGATAGGCTCCAACTTTAAACTAAATGAGCGCTGCTCAAAACCGACAGCGGGGCTTTCTTATCACCTTTTATTTCCCATCACATGACTTTGCATTGTCACAAAACCCGATGGTACCGTTTAGGCGACAGTTTAAAAAGGTGCACAAAACAGACGACCTCCTCGTAGTTTTACAGAGGAAAGCATATCAGATAAACATATGAAATATATGAAAGCTGGTGTTCTGCTTGAAAGAGGCTTTTCACGTGGCAGGGGGGGGGGGGAGACGCACCTAAACCCATTTCCCCCCCTGGAATCATCTGTAACGGTCGTGTTGCTGCTGTGGATCGTCGCGCATCAAGAGAACATAACTCGGCTGCGCGCGGAGGGGGTTTAAGATGCGGGCAACATCACGTCGGGATCTCAATGTACCCAAAAGTTCTCATCGGATCGCTCGCGTCGCGCCTCCGCCGAACTGAACCACCAGACGCCTTTAAAAAACGGGCTTTTACCCCGCGACGGCAAAATACCACCAACAACAACAAGAACAACAACGCGGTCAGAGAAATGAAATGACAACATTGCGTTAGGAGGAGAGTGAGAGGTTCTCGCACCGTACCTTCATTGATCGCTCACGCTGTCATGTGAGCGCGAGACCTCCATGTGATTTCCTGCAAGGAAGGAAAAGCAAGTCACGTATTTCTTAAAGTTGTAGCAGGCGCTGGTTAAAGTCCGAGCGCGGAGTGGAGCTCTATAAACAGACGCGCTCGCAGCAGATGAGCGGGGTGATTTGTGGAGTATTCCAAACGCTTTACGTTTTTTTTTTTTTTAAAGAAGTAGAACCGCTGCTGAATCCGCTGGTGTCGAAGCAGTCCGGTGATCTGTTCATGCCGTCATTTCAATAAATAATCCGATGAATATTTATATATATGATTATCGTGAGCGTTTTCCCCTGCCTAGTTTAACTTTTACGCATTCTAAACATGATTTTATATTTGCCATTCATTAAACTGAGGCAACTAACTAGTGTTGCTTTCAAATGCTCCTCGTTTTTTTTCACTTTCTATATTCCCCGTGACAATGAAATGTCACGATCACGGTATGTTCAGACACTAAGTGGCGGCTATACGAGTATTAAATAGGCTAAGTAGTAAAATTTCACATCATTTTTTGGAGAGCAATGCGCGTTGTCATGAATCACCGCCGTCTCGGTTGAATTCACATCTGCAAAGTAGTTCTCGCAATTCCGACACCACCCGAATCTCTCATTAGCGCGACAACATGGCGCCTCTGGGTGGCGCTATCGGGTTACTTTTTGTGCCGGTTGAGGTGCGGTGCGTTGCGGGTCGGGGTGGACTGCCAGCTGGGTGAACGTCGTGAGGAGTGTCTTTCCCCCCCCCCCCCACACACACACACACACACCTCCCGAATATCTCTGCGCCCAATAACTGGATGGAGGTTTCACTCGGATGCGCTCGTCTGATCGGTGGAAGTGGAATAAAAAGAGAAGAGAGGAACCGAGGAAACACAAACGAAACAAAACCGGACGCAATCAACGGCGGAGCAGAATGACAAGTGGAACAAGTAGTGCAACAAAAGAGACTTCTTGCTGTAATTCGCCTCCGCGGACTGAACTAACCAGCAGCTCAACCGGCTAACGTTAGCTGCATCCCCGGTATAACCAACGGTAACGTTAGCTCTATTATTTTTATAAAGAAAACGTTAATGTTTAATGTATCACGGGCCGGTTTGAGTTTACATCAACTATCACAACAGAGTCCCAGTCGGCGATACGACACGGACTGAAGTGGACCAGTTAACGAGCTAAAACACCCTCGGGTCGCACGGAATAAACGCTGTAACGTTAGCTAGCTTTAGCTACCGGTTAACGTTAGCAAGCTAAGCTACCAGCGTTACAGTTAGCGAGCTGCTGTTGTTGTTGTTCTGGTCGTACTTGTGGTTATTACTCATTTATAACCGTATACAATAACATGGCGAGTTTCTAACGCACGGGTCCCTTTAGTTGAACGAACTTGACACAGTCAGGCCAACACTTTGCGTTCACGTTACTCAGCCGCGGCGCTAGCTTACTAACTCGGAGTTGTGCGGACTCGGTGAAGCGGCTTCTCTGTGCTTACAGACTCGAGCGTCCTCGCCCGCCTGCGGCCGCTGAGCGGATCCCCGTCACGTTCTCGCCATGGCAGCGGTGCTGAGCTACTCTCCGCCGTGGTGGGTCAACGCTCTGCACAGACTTCCCCATTTCAACTTCAAGTTGGAGCAAACGAGCAGTGATTTCCGACCCGAGGACTGGACCTATCAACAGGTAAAAGCCAAACCACCTCACTGACCCAAGACGAATGCGTCCTCCTCATTCTGGAGGACAATACGGAGAATTCATGGTGACCTGTTTGCACCTGTTCCCCTTCCTCACCTTTTGATCCCCGTCACCATCTGTGTGTCTGTCCATGTCTTGACCTTTTTGACATGATTCAACCAGCTGTCACCGTGTGGGACAATGCATGCCCCTTAAATCGACCTAAAGGGCCATATAGTTTGTATTTAGTCAATATGTAATCAGAACCAGTGTTCGTTATGTCACATAAGGGGCTTGTTGGCTCTAAAGTACCTTTGCACAAAGCCGTGGCTGCTCAAGATGTGTGGATTAAAGAGGTTCGTGGTAGCAGAGGTCCATAAGTAGCCTGATGAGCGGCTGAGAGGGGGGGAGGGGAATGCACAGCAGAGCATTTGTTCACAAGTTTGATATTAAAGAGACTCCAAATTTAGGTCAGGTGATCCTTTATTTTGTTTATTGCAGATGTAGCTTTAGCAGGCGTTAAGCATATTCCCATTGCTTTCTGTTACGCCTTGTTGTTCGAGTTGCAGGTTACAACACAATTCTGGAGACACCTTTAGCTTTGACCCACCGCATCCAGTGAAACGACTCTGCATATACTGTATATCCTTATTGAAAATGCAATCACTGACTGTGTCTCAGCTGAACACTCAAAGAACTCCTACAAATCCCTCAGATCCGCCTAAGAAATTCTGTGAAAACTGTTGATTCAGCTGTTCGAATAAATGATGTGCAGTCACATCGGATGGAAGGTTGCTCAATTTTTCACGGCCGTGATGAAGAGTAAAATGTACTGACATCGTTGGACCATAACTTCATTCCAATTTGTCTTTGGTTCATTGATTACTGGACTTTGTTTATGCAGCTTCTTCATTCCCGAAGCCCATGTGGTGCTGTGTTTTTTTTTAAAGGCTCTCCGAGAACGGTTATTGAGCCAGTAGAGTTATAGTTTCAGAGTCCGCTGAGGGAATCAGTGAAAAGAGGGTTATTTTCAACTCAAGTGAGAAATCGCCAGACATGGTCTGCAGACTTGAGAGAACGGTGCGTCCATTCTACAGTGCCGCTGTGATTCACAAAATGCAGAAGTGACTCATCGCTCCTGAGAAACGGAAAGACGAGCTCCAGACATGCATCATCCTCGGTGGCAGTCATGTGTTGAAGATTGTGCAGGCGTTCGTGTTCGCCGAATGAAAGTAATCCAAGGTATAAAACTAAACATCCATGTTGGACTTAGACCGACCGGTGTCGGCGTCAGAGATTGGCGAGTTAGTGGAAGTGATGATCTAGTTCAGACACAATGAGTATTTACCTGAGGTGTCACTGGAGTGCGTTTACCAAAAACAGTGGGTTTTTATGACATGATGTCGGGAGGCTTTTCCCTGGTAAGACACAGGAAGGACTCATTGGCTGGATAACGGCTGCAGCTGTTTGGCAAACAGCATCCCTATTTAAAGGATGAGGACATTCAGTGGAAACATAATGCATATGTTAATAAAATGCAGGTGGTGCAGCTGTTGGAGCACAATATGTGCATTACCTCAACCAGAACAAAACATAAGAGGTCATGATTAGACCGGCTCACTTAACCACACGGTGATGACAGGCCGCTAATGGCCGCCCGTGCAGCGCTCTCACCCAGGATTCAGCTCTGGTCTCGGCTGGTCAGCTCGCAGCAGTGCTCATTATAGGACTACTCCCATCAATATATAACCTTGGGTGCCTTTTGTGTTTTGATGCTGTGGAAGCAATCTACCAAAAGTAACATGCTGAAGTATGATTGTAGTTTTAACTCGTGGATCGGACTGGGCACTATTACTGGACTATAACGCAGCCTGTAAAACCAGGCAAAGGGCACACTGATGCCATGTTACGATATCTTAAATATGTGGTCTCCTATCACGATATCAATAAGCCTCCAATTATTCCAAGATTTTAGCTCGACCGTGAACTGGGTCTGCAGCCGCTGCCCCGGGACGCATCCGTCACTGCCAAGCCAGCAAGCGTCGACTTTTTTACAGAACAAAAGAGGGGGGAAAAGGGTGGAAATGTGCCCCCGGTGTGAGAGAGGATCCATTGAACATCGAGGCCCTCCGTCTGACCTATATAGGAGGAGATAATACAGTTTTACCCTCTTAGACCTTTATTTGGGGATGAAAATCCACAATGCTTGCCCTCGATTCGATTTAGGACAAATGGGACATATGATTCTGATATACTAATTAAAGCTGAAAGTATAATACGTTCTCTCGGTAGGAGGGCCATGCATTAGCTGCTCTAGAAGCCCATTATCCCTGCGGTTATTGATGTGGGAAACGTCCCAGCTATGAAGTGTCCATAACCCCGTCCCTCTGTCCACCAGTCCATCCTTCTGCTGGGAGGACTGGCGCTGGTCTGCCTGGCCCTGGACCTCGTGTTCCTGCTCTTCTACTCCATTTGTCTTTGCTGCCGGCGGAGCAAAAGCGAGGATCGGCCCAACGCCGACTGCTGCTGCACAGCGTGGTGCGTCATCATCGCAACACTCGTCTGCAGGTGAGCATTCGGCCCAGGTGCCCCCCCCCCCTCCCGAGAATCAACAAGGAGAAGTAGGCATCAACACCTCAGGAGTGAATCGTCTCTAAGATGCATTCACCCTTCGCTGCTTCGCGTTCACACAGCCTGAGACAAAGATACAGGAAGAGGGGAGTCACCAGTCAGCGGCAAACCAATCTCAGCTAGATATGCAAATCCTGCGTGAAGGATGTGGTCAGTGCTGAACGCTGGAAAGTTTACAGATACACAGAGATACGAGAACTTACCAACTAACAGCTGAGGCTCGGTTGCTCAGAATTTCAAAATAAAATGGACTTCAGAACCTTCAGATTCCTATCAAATAAGAAGCTGAAGCCCAAAGGACACAATGTCCCCACGTTTAGAATCTAAGGTGAGACTTCCACCCCGACTGACAGCCACAAATTCACATTGAAAAACAATTAAGTGCTGAACTTATTTGGTATTTTTAATGACAGCCGCTGAATACATATTAGTTTGGGATTGTTGTCACGAAGAAAAAAAACAAAGCACAAAATGCTACAAACATCCACTGGCTTCATATTTCTTTTATCGTGTGAGAACCTTCTACCACTGAACACTGCATTAGCTTCCAGTTTTCCTCTTGCTGTTGAGCGGAGAGCGAGCGCGGGCTGATTCAGAGCCGCACAAAGAGTCCGGCGACCCAGCGAGTACAAGAACTGCATCGCAATCACCGCATCTGTTTACACGCTGCTGCCAACGCAGCAAAGCCACAGGTTTCAGTGAAAACAGGAAGAAGGTCCTTCGTTTCATTGTTTAGTTTCTGTTCTTTGATGGCGGCCATGCACTGCACACGGCACTGAACCAATACCAACTACATTCAAACCATCCAAGCCGTGAGGTCGGTTTTTCTTTTTTTTTCCTCTTCTTTTTTTCCACACTGAGTGTGAGAGGAAGAGATTAGAAGCCCACCAGGAAGCAGGAAAAACCCATCGATGCCCTGAGTGCCGCTGGCTTTGACCGGGCTCATTTAGCTCGGAGTGGTTCGTCACCATCATCATCATCATCATCATCATCATTATCGCGCTACTTTGAAAAAGCTTCCACCCGTCACAGGATGGGGGTTTAGCAAAAAGACCCATCAGCTGCCACACACAACCAGATATCGGTTCTAGCGATCAAAATGCTTCTCGGGGATCAGACAGGGAGTTTATTTTTTGACACTGTTATACATAAACCAATATCACTGTGAAAAGCTTCTCCTCTGTTTACCAAGACAGAGGATGGAACAGTGCATACGGATGAATCGTCAGAATGTTTTATTTCTTTTTATGTATTTTTTTACAAACTGCTTCCTGCTCATTCTGCCACCTGAGGGCCGTCCTCCTGCCTCAGGGCAGCCTTTGTCAGCCGCAGTGTGGGCTTCGGGGGCGCATAGCTGGTCCATTCCTCTGTGTTTCCATGGTTCTGTATGGGGTCTTTCTGCTGCAGCTGAAAGGAGCCCGTTGACTGGGCTCTGGACCGGCAGGGTTAATGTGGAGTTCACACGGCCCCCTCGCCGGCCCGCTCTCTGTGTCTCTTCTAGCTAATCCCTCCTCCTCACCAACCCCTGTCTCCCCCACCCCTTCCTTTTGTCTCCCACCCCCAGCGCTGGCATTGCTGTCGGTTTCTATGGCAACGGCGAGACTTGTGACGGAGTGAACCGGCTGACGTACTCCTTGCGCCATGCCAACCGCACAATCACTGGAGTGGAGAAGCTGGTAAGACTGGAGGGCGCAAATTATCCCAACTTGTTTAAATATTCATTGCCCGTCTGCCATGAACATGGACCCCCCCCCCCCATCCCCCATCCCCCGGGCAGAGCTGTGTTGTGCATCCCCCTTTTCCCTCAACTCCACCGTGACCTTGTTTGTCCCTGTGCCGGCTCTAGGTGTACGACAGCACATCCTCGTTGAACCAGACGGTGGAAACCAATCTGCAGCAGCTGGAGGGCCAGTATGCGCAGCACGCGGACTACCTGTCCATCATCCAAAAGCTGCAGGCCCAGCTGGACGAGCTGGTCAGACAGATGGTGGAGGTCCCCTTCTGGGAAAGAGCCGACATCTCCCTGGAGGAGCTGGCCGGCACCATCGAGCTGTACGACTGGTACAGGTGAGGCTGCGATGGAGCACAGAGCTCATTCAAACAAAGGCTGCCACAATGCAACACATTACACATTCAGCTCCTGGCGGATGCTGCAGAGTGAGGCGTGGCAGCAGCACCGAGCCACGCAGACAACAACACACTCCGATTCATTTTAGTGCCTCTGAGTTCACAGTTACACGTTAGCCCGTCTTTTTCCTGGTGGGATAAAGATGGAAATGTTTCTTGAAATCCTGCCGTGAGAGCTTAAAATAAATGTTTTGAATGTTGATTGTTTATTATATAATCATTTCCTTCTATAAACTGAGAGATTAAACTACTGAGCTTGATCTAAAGATAGAGCTCCCTCCGCCGGTTCCTGTCTTTCGATGCTACGCCGCAGGTTGCTAACGGCGTGCGTCCCCACAGGTGGCTGGGCTACGTAGGCCTGCTCCTCTTCGACGTCCTCATCTGCCTCCTGGTGCTGTTCGGCCTCATACGCAACTCCAAGGCAACGCTCGTAGGGTGAGTCCCGGCACCGGGGAGAATCATTCTGCCCCGGGAGCTTACTGCTGTCTGCTGAATGAGGGCTAGTAAATGTACGCGGAACCTTCAACCGATCAAGGCCACCTGGTCATTACCATCCAGTCGGGATGAATTTGTGCCCTAAAACATATCAGCAGTATTTGGGTGATCACTAATGACACTTAATGACTCGCTTAACTATGCAGAGTTGCCCTTTCATTACTAATGTGTGTGTTTGTATGTAACAGATCAGCTACACAAGGCTACTTCCATTTTGTAGGCACTAAAAATGCTGATGTAAACGCAGTAAAGAATGCTCAGTTTTCCCTTTTTAATGGTAGATCAGGGCAACAAAACAAAAAGGTAATGAAACAAATAAACTGCACATAGTACATTAAATACGTCATAAATATGCCTTGTATTTTAGAGTAAGTTTCACGTCTTATGACCTTATGAAGCTCCTTTTTAAGGACCTCTACTTTCTCATTTTGTTCTTTAGCTTGGTCCAACCTAAAAATTCCCATTAGCAACATTACTTTCACTGGCAATAGAAAGGCACGGGGGGGCTCGACGCATACTTAAGGAACTACGTGTTTGGCTTGAATCCCCCCCCCCCTGCTGCAGTGTGCAGATGAACAGTACTGCTGTGACGCCGCAGGCTAAAGGTACTTGAACTCTCTCCCCAGGGTGTGCGTGTTTGGCGTGGTCGCTCTGGTGATCAGCTGGGTCTCCCTGGGGCTGGAGTTCGCCGCGTCAGCGGTAAGTGTCACACAGACAGAGCGTTAGCCTGTTTCTTTTGGGGTGTAGCCGCACAGCTCATTACGTATAATTGGGTAAAACTATTTATGGCTGTGTCCTCAGCTAAGGGCTGCAGAATTTGGCCTCGCAAGAACATTGAACATTGACATTGCTAAAAATGTGCCACGGAGCGGAAGAGACCAGAAACATCTGTATGACGTAATGCCATGTAGTAGCCTGGATAAACTTATATTGACGACCCCCAAGAAGCGTTAAGAAAACGAGTGTTTAGGATTCGCATTGTGGGCAAACTATTGCAGCTCATTAGGCGACTGAATGGAGGAGAAAAGCGACTTAATTGACTCTCGGCCCTCAGCCGGGAGGCTACAACCGATGTTCCACCCGACATGACGGTATCTTCTTTTTCCAGACCGCCAGTGACTTCTGTGTTTCTCCTGACACGTATGTCACCGAGATGGCCGATCGGTACGCCGTCATTGATCAAGGTGAGAACAGCGCTCGGGTTTCCCTCATAGGGTGCTGGGCCGCTGCAAAGAGACGGCTCTTGTGTTGTTCGCTGCGACGCCTCTTTTGAAATGGTGAACATGAGTCATCTGACACCGAAGAGGACACTCCAGCCGGAGTCGTTTAGTCCCCTCCCCCTTCCGGGCGCCAGTGCTCTTGATTATCGTGCAGCAGTGAGGCGGCATTGTTCTGATGAGAGGGGCTCGGTCTCGTCCGTGGTCCATGAAGAGTCTCTAAAAATGGCTGCCACATCTGCGGCAGGGTCAAGAGGGCAACGAGCCTCCCTTTATAAGCAGCACAGAAGCCTCTAACACGCCACCGCTTAGTAATTACCCAATCTGCCCCATGATGGGAGGCGTGTGAGGGGGAGATAAGAGCTGTGGAGGAGAGGATCAAACACCGCATGTTTCCTACATCCCCCCTCGGCCTTTGCATGTTAAGATGGTGCTCAGACTTCCTGCTTCAGAATTTGTCCTTTTCCTGCTCTCCTCTCTAAAACCCGGCGATTACTTAATGCACGAATTGAGCGCTTGGTTTAATCGGGACAGAAAACCAGAGCATCAGCTGCTGACGTCGCGTTGAGCACCAACTCACTCTTCAAACTAAACCGGGTTATTGTGCAGATATGAAGCTGTGATTTGCTCCGGGGCTGATTCGTGCAGAATGTTTTATTTTTTTCTTCTATTTTTACCCTGCAGCACATGTTAACTGTTCAGCTGTTGTATTAAGCTTGATTCTATTATGGAAATATTCCTCACAAAGAAAACATAGCATTCGATTGCAAACCTCGAGATATTATTTTCCTTTATATGGAGAACATCTTTCCCAGTGGTTTTGTATTTTCCCGTCACAGCTCAGGGCTCCTTAAAACAGCAGACAGTGTGTTTTTATTACAGCAGATTTATTGCTTCCCTCCCCTGGATAACTGCTGTATTTTCTTGAACACGCATCATTCCAGCCACCCTCGCTGTTGCTCTTCGTTCCTCTTTCTCCTCGTTGCACAATAGTGTCTCAATCCAGACGGAGAGAGCGAGCGTTAATCCGTGCGATACGTCGTGGAGCGGCCCGTTGGTCCGAGGGTTCCAACTTACCACCGTGATGCAGGATTTTGTTGATCTTGTTTTGAGGTTTTTCTCTTAAGTGTTTTCTTGATCATAAGAAATCCCTTTTTGACTCCCTCTCCAAGCCGAAACGTTTAACCTGGTGGGAAGTGCGGCCAAAAGTGTCCAATAAACAGGCCGATAATAAACCCCATTGTAAACCGAGTAATGGGCAACAAATTGTTCATTTAACGCTTCGTGGGGAAAAGAGAACCATGTTATACTGCATCCTTAAACTTGAGTCATAATATTGGCTGCAAGAATCTCTCACCAGTGGCGACTCAGGACATCCTCTCCTCCTCGTATGTCTATATATAAGTGTGTGTGTGGGTGCCCGTGTGAACAGAGCTCTCTGCACCGTGAGTCCGCCGGGCCGCGTGGGAATTTGGAGCTCTTGGACGTCACTCACCCGCCCTCGGCGGCGCCGGCGCTCTCGTATACGTGGACGTCGTTGTTGCTTTTGAGTCATCCGGCAAGGATCTTTCTCATCCAAGTCGCACCCAAAGTCTCTGTGCACAGAATACACGTTGGTGCTGTTGTCGGAGTCTGCGTGAGAAGGCTTTTACTTTTGTGTGCTTGTTGCGGCGTTTAGGGGGAAACACACGTGTGAACTTCATTCTTTTTGAAGCTCAGGATTTAGTGAATTCTTGTTATTTATCGGCCAACATATAGATGCATACTGAGATATCTGTGATAAGCTGACGAGTCCTTCCCAGTTCTACCTCCACTAACTTTTTCTGTCCCCGCTGCTCACAGAGATCCTGCAGCACTACCTCAGCTGCAGTTTGGATCGAACAAACCCCTTCCAGCAGGTTAGTTCTTTACATGTTTCTGCATGTCTGAGCACAGGCGTTTCCCTTCAGATGAATACCCACATCACACAGTGTGCTTGTTAAGTGGGTCGGCATTCAGCGGGACAAACACGTCGCACCATAATGTGGGTCGGCGACGAAGTTCATGAGCTCATGAAAAAACAAATCAGGCCGACGCTAAAATCACGTGTTTGAAAAGTCGTGTCCGGAACGGGCTGAAGTAGTCAATGCAAAGTGTGTGTGTGTGTGTGTGTGTGTGTGTCCTTGCATAAGAAAAGTGTGTGTTGGAAGCCAGAGAGGAAGACGGTGCAGTTTGCTTTTAATGGTCCAGCTTCAGCAAACCACATGAATAAATCACAGCTCCTGAGTGCTGTAAAGCAAAGGGAGCGATGGATACATAACGTAATTCCTTTCAGCCGGCATCTCGAAGCCCAGTGATCGAAATAACGGAGGCCCCTTTTTGCAGAAACTCTCCGGGAGCCACAAAGCGCTGGTGGAGATGCAGGACGACGTGTCGGAGCTCCTGCGCTCCGCCACCAGAGAGTACAAACAAACTCAGGTGTGTATGTATCCGGTGCTGTGTGACGACAGACTATCCGGGGGGGGGCTTTCACTCTGCTGAGCTGACATTGGGAATAGAGAGGAGCATATTTCACCTCACATGAGCACACATGGAAATGTGCTGAGGCTGTGGAAACGTTTGTATCGGGCTCAGACGGGTTCCCCGCTGGAGGAGGAACCGTCTATTTAAATGTATCATGCATCAAATCGGCCTTTTCAGCGGGTAAAGACAAAGACACCGATAAAGATTTTGATTCACTTGTCACCCATTTCCTCCTCTTTGCAAATCTTCTATTCTTCACTTTTATTACCATTGACAAACTGCCATAATAACAATTACACTCACATGGTTCCAACGGGCTTTTATTCCAAGCACGCCCCAGATAACAAAGTTGGACTTAAATTCAGTTTTTGTTTTTCTCTGCAGGGAAGTTTAGAAGAGATCCAGGGGATACTGAACACCACAGAGATCAGCCTTCATCAGCTCACCGCGCTGGTGGACTGTCGCAGCCTGCACATGGTGAGCCGGGCAGGACGCGGCGCGCGGGCCGCTGCTCGCGTAGATGGATGAGTTGCGACGGTCGCACGGACCTTTTCTTTGTGCGCGCGTGCGGCCGACTACACCTGTCACCATCGCTAACACTTGCCCTCCTGTCCGCTCGATGCTGGCCTCGTACTTCGCCAGGTGGCGGGGCCGAATGACAAGTACTCTGCTCCCCGAGCGGCGTCCAAAAGTCCACGTGCACACGGGTCTTTTCGCTTCTCGCCACGCGATGAAATGATAGAACACTGCGTCTGACCTACTTTAAATGAGAATCCACGCGCTGGAACAAAATGCTTCTACGGCTTGTGCTTTTGTTTCCTGTTGTCCAGATGTTTTTGATGCAGACCCTGATCTGGTCCACGTGCCAAAGTGAAAGCGCCGTCTTTTCTTTTTGTTGCAGGACTTCGTCCAGGCCGTGACGGGGCTGTGTTACGACGGACTGGAGGGCCTCATCTACCTCGTGCTCTTCTCCTTCATCACTGCCCTCATGTTCAGCTCCATTGTTTGCGCCGTGCCTCACACCTGGCAGAGGAAGAGGTGACACGTCAAACTCACCCTTCAACGCACAACCACACACGAAGCAGTGGAAAAAAGGCTTTTAGGGAGAGTTTGTGTGCAGGGCTGCATATAGAGTGAGAAATAATTTAAGGTCACGAGCCTATTAATAAATGATGTTTTTATGGCATTTCTCCTATTCCAGCATGAGATGGACAAACAAAGTCATTCAGTGTAGCCGAGGCTGTTTTTTTTTCTGCGTGCACAAGGCTCCAGCTGCTTCCTCAGAGAGATTGCTTCCTGTTTGCGAGCCCATAATTGTGCCGAGTTGGCTTAACTCCATCGTAACCACCGCCTGGGCGGCTGTGTTTTTGCGCAGCAGATGAGTTAAAATCATTCTGGTATCTTTGTCCCATCGGGGGCAGATAAGGTTCGCGGGGACGGCTGCGAGGGAAGCGCTCAGCTGCACCACATAATTAACTGATCCCTGCTCACAATCGGGGGGCCACGTTCGTCGGTTGGATCTCAGCTGGTGCTTCCTGTTACAAAACAAAGGCTCACACGCCACCAGTCTGTTTGCTCAGTGCTCTCTGCTGAGCTGGTTAGTCACTGGTGTCTAATTCACTTTAACCCTTTCTGGAACTGTAATATTACGCCTGCTGCCCACTGCGAGGTTCTTTTCATCACTACGAAATAGTCAGTAAGTCTCTGGTTTAAATCAAGGTGTTTTTGGACTTGTTGTTCCGTTGGATGAGAGCGAGCCGGTGGATCCGCTCTGCAGGCTGCGGGATGAACACCAGGGGGAGACTCTTTCCCGCTCCTTTGTCATCGGTGGGACAGGGCGGGGGGCGGAGGGGGGCTCCCCTGGCGGTGGTTTCACTGCAGCGCCGCCTGATGTTTGCAGGAACGAGGAGGACAGCGAGGACGAGTCTCTGAGCCACGGGGGGAGACAAAACCACGACAACCTCTACCGGGTCCACATGCCGAGCCTGTACAGCTGCGGCAGCAGCTACGGCAGCGAGACCTCCATCCCCGCCGCCGCCCACACCGTCAGCAACGCACCCGTCACCGAGTACTTGTGAGTCGCCGCCGAAGGTCAATCCGAAGAGGGGGGAGGCCCGGTCGGAGGTTGTGTACTTGTTGTGCATCCCCAGAGAAGAGCTGAGCTATGGAGAGCCATACAGCTGTTGCTCTCCAGCTGTGGAGCCTGATGTTGAGGAAACTAGGGGAGAGGATCCCCTGTTTTCTGTGTGCCGAAAGCCGACGTGGAGAGTGCCTGTGTGCGCTGTATTGTTTCATTACTCTTTATCCTCCTCGACTTGTCGTGCCTGATCTCGATGTGTGTTTCCTTCATCAGGGCTCAGAACGCCAACTTTCAGAACTCTCGCTGTGAGAACACGCCTCTGATTGGACGAGAGTCTCCTCCGCCCTCGGTGAGTGTCCCATTTCCTGTTAAGAAAAAAACACAACCGCCGTCGAACTCTGAAACACTTCAGGGTCATTTGTTAGGGAACGACTTAAGTGGGGAAGTGAAACCGGGAACAAAACCGCACACACACACACACACAGCTGACTGAATATTAGGACTCACAGCCATCGCTCTCGTCTCTTTGATTATCTACACACTGAGAGACATCCAGCTCCGTACTACTCATGGATACGGCTGGACGAGGAAGAATTCCCCTTCATGCTTCAGTGGGTGAAGTCAAACCTGAGATTGTGTTTTCAGTAGATGGTGGTTTGAATATTTGGAGAGCAAATAAAGAATCGCCTATACAGACAAACGGCTCCACACATGAAGAGTTCATTCTTACATCGAACTGCTCTGTCTGATCTGACCGACGGTCTGAGGACTGGAGGCTCATCAGTGAAGCGGGGGGGGGGGACAGTGCCCTGGATTCTTTGTTTCCCTCCACGTCCACAGTTTGTGATCCTCTACAAGACTTTATGCTGTGAAAGAAGCTTTTTTTTGTCTTTTCAAATTGTGACTTGATGAAAGTTCCCGCGGTTAACCATGTACGAGGATCCTCGCCCCCTCCCCCTCTGACCTGAAGCCCCCGCCCCCAACAGTGTTCACCTGTCTTCCTGGACCTCCACACACCAGGGGGCAGCACAGCACAGCAGCTACAATGATGCAGTCAATGCTTTGTTGGGTGTTTTAAATGTTATCCTACGTTTGAATCTAACAAGAGAGGCCTGACCAAACTGCCACAAACCCTTAGAACACTGCAGGTCATCTGGGGTCAGTGAGACAAAGCTGTTTAATTTAGTGTGCTCTCTGAACCGATCATTGTAATCCAGAATATTAACCCGGATCCAACTACTGAATCACAGGAACCACCAACCAAGTACCTGTATGAGGTGAAGCGGTGACCGCAGTGTGCAAACAGCAGCAGAATCCGATGTGCTACATGTCCCAGACATCGTGTGTGTGTGTGTGTGTGTGTGTGTGTGTGTGTGTGTGTGTGCGTATCCGGTCGTGCAGCGACAGGCAGCAGAAAGGCCGCTCTGTGCTGCCTGACCTCTCCGGGCCGACAGCAGGCAGAGGTCAGCGCCAGAACCGCCCGTCTGCCAGCTGCTGTCGGCCTCTTAAACTGACTTTATTCGAACAAATTTGGAGCCACCTTAACTATTCCTTTAATTGTTCATTCAAAACGTAACTTTTTGGTAAAGACCCATCAAACGGGTTTTTGGGTAGTAATCACACAGCACGTCCAGGTACTTCCCGTCTGATGAGGTGAATGTCCAGATGACATCATCTCCTGCGGTCCCTGCTGTTTACCGCGGGGGCCGAACAAAGCCGTGAACAAACAAAGCGTTGATGGACCAAAGATGCAAATGACCATTCACACGGTCTCGCTGTCTAGGAAATTAAATTACCCGGCTTGTTGCTGGACCGGAGGAATGCATCACTAATGCTTTGAGGTGAGGCGCTGAATGGAGACTGGGCCCCCCCCCCACACTCAGACACTTCCTGAGTCTGGCCGGGCTTTCTGCCAGCTGGTCGGCCTCCTCCTCCTCCTCCTCCTCGATGCCAAGCAGCTGCATCGGGGCCAGGAGACTTAAAACTGCACCAGACAGACCCGCAAAAGCCGCCTGAATCCCCCACAAACAAATGATGTATAAGTCCACTCATGTTAATAGAAATGATCCTTTTTTCATAAATATATAAATGAATTTCCCACCTTTCCGACTTCGGTAGCTTCTATTGATGCCGTTATCCTCTGGTTACACAGCAGGGTGTGTTTTCCCAAATCCTCCTGACTGCTGCATCCAGTTTCCACCTCTGTATATTCTGTTGAGTTTTAATTCAGTGGTTCCTAACCGAGGGGCCGGGCCCCCTCCGAAAGGACACAAGGAAAAACCTCAGGGTCTAAAATGTGGCCTCAGAAAAACTGTTGCAACACCGACCGCCTTAATTCTATTGTGTACTGAACATTTTAAAGGTCGTAACACCGTTTACGTTTGCAATGCAAATAAAACACCAAAAAGGTGCAGACAGCTTAATGTGTCTCTTACAGCCACATTTGCAAAAATGATTTGCATTTCTGCAAAACACCGTGTCCGTAATTCTAACTTTCATGCGAATTTCCTTTTAAATCTTCTCATTTCGAGACATCATTCATGAATCACATGTCTTGTAACAGTTGACCAGTGACAAGTAATGAGGCTATTTCACATTCTTTCTGACCATTAAAAGTTCTTTTGTTTAAAAGTGAAATGCGTTTTGTGCAGACTTTTATCCAGAATGAATTGTCTTGCTGTTTTTTGCTGCGTTCCCCCCCCCCACTCAGGAAAAAGAAAAATCTTCAAGTCCTTCACTGGAGTGCCGCCCGTGACGGAGTTCAAGTCCTCCTCCAGCAGCGAAATGTGACACCTGGATTGTGGCGAGTCCCGCCCCCAGAGCCCGCCGCGTGGAGCAGGATTAAGGCCTGCGCCAGTTGCTGTGAGATCTCGCCTCCTAATCCTGCGGACAATGGCGGCTGTTAATTGGAGAGCGACTGATACAGCAAGACAATGTCCCTCTAATCCCCCGGACTCTGAGGAATGTCCCTCCGCGGCAGCCGTCCACACTTCACCGCGTCCACCGCGGCTCCTCGCCCCACACACCCGGCGTTCGTTTTTATTTGGTTGAGTCAAAAACAAACACAGAGTTGTGAAATGTCACGTGTTGCTGATGGGAGGTGCGAGAAAGCTCACTCGGGTGTTTGCGTCTCAATCAGCGGGCGACGAACTGTTAACAGGCGTAAAAGTGTTTCCTGTCCGGACCGGAACGACGTCATTGTCGAGAGACCTGTGAGGCCTCCACAAACCCGGGCCCCCAAAATGAACCCGAACGGGCCTTTCTTAACAGCTCGTCACGGGATTAGACGCATTGGCGTCTCTTTGTGTCTCTTTTAGCCTTTTTGTTATTTGTGGTGGTTTTACGGTTCTTTGGTCAGCTTTTATTGATTTCTAATCCTTCAATGTTTATTTGTTGTTGCTTTTTGCCTCTTTGTGGGCGACGTGGGTCTTTTCGTTCATTTCTTTAATGACTTTGCATTCTTTTTTGGTCATTTTGCATTAGTTCTTACTACTTTTGCCTCTTGCTTTTCATGACTCGCTGGTTGTTTGATCGCCAGTCGGCTCACATAGAGACTCGGGTCCAGAGGCCGAGGGCCGGTGTCTCGCAAACTAATCCATCCGTGATCTTAACGAGCCAACTGACATCAGCTGCCTCCAGCGTGACTCGTCATTCAGTCCCATGCCGCTGCTTTCGCACTACTTTTACATCTAGTTGTAACGTCAGCACATTAATACACCCTGTTTTTGGGCCTTATAATTAAAAGTTGAAAAGGGTAAGATGGGAGAGAGATGTGGTTCTTCGCCGGGGGGAAACTGTAGCTCAACAAGCGTGACTCAAACTGAGACAGACACAAGTCATGCGGGAGGTTTTGTGTTTTGTAAACAGAACCTGGTCGACGTTCTGGATCCTGGGCCCTTTTATCACTGCAGGATAAGCAGCCACGGCCTGCAGTCGTATTTCACCGTGCACGCTGGCAGTTGGATGTTTGTGTTCTTTTAATCTCTCGCCTGTCTCCTATGCAAAACGGCTTGGAAAACATTCCAGTAAATGACAGATCTTAGCAGACGTTATATTTTGCATAGATGTGGGCGTGGCTACTTTGAGTGACAGTTGGGCTTGACGTCGCTGCCAAAATTCGTCGGACTTCGCAGAATTCTACTGAAACTTACATACTTACCCTTACTTTATAATATAACGTTAAATATAAAAATATAACGTTAGTTTAACATGGTTGCTGGATAGGAATACTTTAACATTTGTCAGTTAGCTAAATGTTGAGCTAACGTTACAGCTAGTTAGCTTAACTTACCGTCATGAAAGGGGGACACAGTTAACGTTAGCCAACGTTAGCCTAGCTCGGCCCAAAGGTAAGAAAACTGCTAGCAAACTGTTAGCAACATTAAAAGTCATTAATATATATATATAATTGACACAATGTGTCTTGCTTGGTAAATGTGCGTAGAAATGTAGAAAAAAACAATTTGCTTTTTGTTGTTGGGTAATGTGCAGCTAGTTGACGTGTACCAACACACCGATTCTCTCTTCTAATGTTAAATGTTAGGAAACGTTTACTGCAAAGGGTCTGAAATCTAAATGATAACAGTGTACAATTCAAAGCTTAGTCCAACTATATCTATTATTGGGAACAGGATAAATTGCAAAAGAAATCTAATAACTGATTCCCTCGTAGATGTGACTGATTACACGTGTTTTTGGCTAATTTAAATGTCAGACAAGCTAACGTTACTTTCTTCTCTTTGCGCACGAACACGCTTCCCTTTTAGTTATTTACCAGTGAACAAAACACTTCATCCAGGAGACAGTTCTGAGAGTTCTGAGAGATCGGAGACGTATTGGACCAACACTCTCATGATTTGTTATGGATGTAAAAACCTTTTATCTCTTGAAGGAAAAGATCAATGTGCTGCAGATCTGATTACTGTTTGCATATCCACAGCTCGGCAGTTTGATAATACGAGAGTTTTGCTCTTAAGCCACACGCCCTTCTTTCCCATGGCTGCAGTGGCGGAGGAGTAATCTCTCCCGCTTCCTTTTCTGTGAAGCGTTTGCCACTGACTAAATGGTTGTTATGGCTCGAAGGGCTTTGATTGTTCCAGCGCACACAATCTATGTTTGGGAGCTTGTGCACAGATTTATTGGGGACATTTTACAAGTTGACAGAGAGGAGTGCAGATGTCTGATTGTAGACACATCTGCAGTTCTTCCCGCTTCACGTCTCTGGAAGGCAAAGCTGTGGTTATGGGGTCGCTGTTCGGGTTTTGTTTTTGATTTCCTCTGAATAATTTGTCTCTGATGGATCCTCAGCTCTGTTTAATTTATTTAAATATATATAACATTTTCTTTTTTTGTGTTATCTAAACACATTTATATGAAAGTAGATTAATATAAACTGGCATGAAATGGAAATACACAAGTACAAATACTTAGGAACATTGTCTAAAGCAGGACACTGCTGCTTTGCAGCTTTAATAAATCAGTCAAACTAAAAGAAGATCCAATATTAAAGACATTAAAAGTCTCATCTTGAACTCGGAGGATAAAGTCCAATAAAAACATGACCAAATATGTGATGTTTCTCAGTGGTTATGCGCTTTTATTTAAGTTTTAGGTCCCACCGTGGGTCCCATGGTAGTTAATACCAGGATCAGCTCATAATCCCTGAGAAGCCAGTATTGGGAATGAACCGCTCGAACTCTCCAGATACTGGAGAATAAACAGCACAGTCACTTAACACAGTTCAAAGCGGCACAAATCACCACGTCCGGGTCATTACAAGCATATGTGAACCACGCAGGGCCGATTCCATTCTAAACATTGTACTACTAATTCAAAACAACGGGCACAGTACACAATACTGCAATCAAAAATGTACAGTGCAACCCAATATGGGTGAGAGACGACACGGGGGGGAGCGAATCCCCCCCCATGTGGAAACACTCATGTTGCTCTCGTAAAGTTCTCCCCTCAAAGGCCTCGGCGGTAAGCAGCCGGTGTCACGTGTAACTCGAGGTTATTCATACGGATAACAACGGAGAAGCTGAGCAGTCTGTTGTGCAAACTATTGTAGACCGCCGCTCACGTTACGCCTGCTTGTTATTCAGATGTTTCTATGGGATTTGTCTCCAATTCTTTGCTTTTGAGCCTTTGGAGGTGAGAGTCTTTTCAGGAGCAAACATCAGATCATTGAAACTCAG